TTTATTGTCTTATTTATTATTTGGTGGCTGTCATAATTTTTGGTATAGTAGTTGTGACTTACTCACACTATATACATTTGGCTTCCGCAACAGAAAGAAGGTTATTTAGGAAATTAAATATAGTTGAAGTTTGGGAAAATGCTGCCTTGAAGGTAGCTTCTACATAAGCGTGAAAAATGACATTTGAGTTGCCCACTCGCAATGCTGATTCCAATTGACAAACTACTCAAAAAATCACGTTTGAACCTCAAACATCATTTTAAGCCTTGAAATGTTGTTCCTAAGAGGATTTATCCTAAATTCATTTTCATAGAGAAGCATGATAACACAATAATTCTAATAAATGAACACAAATTATTTAGATAAGGCTCATCATGCTCGAGAGCCTACAACCTTAACAAATAAGTGTGAGAATCATGAAAGAGTATTGAACCTCAATGCAACTGAAACACTAATATCTGATAGGAGTCAAACTAGAATACACAAAGATAAAACTGAACTGTGTGCAAAAGAATAACTTTGAAAGAAGGGATACAGTAGAGTAATTAGACTGTTAATTTTGGAATTTATCAGAAAATATAGAAGTTTTCATGACCCTAAGAAGTAAATGATAATTCTACATCCTTTACCATACATACCAAAGCAGCATGTTCTTCCTGTACACGCTTCAAGTTCTGATTAGATTCTTCTCTGCATTCCAACAGCTTTAACTCACAATTTCTTTCCATCTCTCCAACAATTTTTTCAGCCTGAGATTAATAAATGAAGTGAAAGGCGACAATATATTTCCAGTCAAAATATGCTTCAACATAAGAATTAGTAGCTACCCTCTCCTTCTCTACATTGATACTTTCCAACTTCTCCAAGTCATACTTCCTCCGGATGTCACTGATGGCCTGAGAAAGATCCAACGAGTTTAACTTGTCGGATAGGAGCAAACATACACAGAAACATCAGATAGAATATTTTAAGATTAACCTGGTCATTTTTCTGAGATAATTCCTTTAAATGCCTAGAAAGTTCTAGTTATTTGCTTTCTAACATCTGATCATGCTGCTTTTTAGCTTCTGCAAGGTTGCTTTCAGCAGCAAGCAAAGATGCCTGAATCTGCAATAAGGTACAAAACACAAGGCATTTAAACACATTGTATTGGATTTAATAGGATCTGTAAAACTAAAAGTATCCACAGAAAAAACCTTTTCTCTCTCAGCTTCCAACTGTTTCTGCCTGTCCTGAAGTTCCTGAAGAATCTTATCTTTCTCCTCCAATTTATTGTTAGTCTCTGCAACATGCTTCTCCTGTGATTCCACTGTTTCTGTGTACTTGTCAATTTCCTCGCGTAAAAGACGGGTTTCATCTTCCTTTTTCTGCATGTCTATTTGAAGCTTTCCAATATGGTCTTTGTTCTCTGTTTCCATATAAGAGAGTTTCACCAATAAATTTTGCTGCAAGATATGAAAATTGGCCTTGTTACGTTTAATCAGACACTGTTACTAATGAATGTTCTCTGAGAAGAATTAACCATTTCATTCTCCGATAGTTTTGAATTTTCTGACAAAGCGACAACATTCTCCTGCAGTTTGCTAATCAGCACTTCCATCTCCATCTTCTTGGACAGAAGCAGTTCCGCTTCAGACTCTAATTTTCTAATCTGATCTTCTGCTAAACGGGATTCTTCAGCATGCTGCACCATTGCATGTTCTTGCTCTTTCTGAAGTGCAAAGACTTTATCCTTCAAGTCCTTATTAGCTAACTCTAGAGCATTTTTCTCTGATGCAACGCTTGTATATTGATCCTGGAGCTTGTCAAACTTTCGTTGAGCATGCCGAGCAGCAAGTTCCCCCTTCTCTCTCATCATTTCAAAACCAGCATCAAATAAGGCATTAAGCTGAAATATCTTCTCCGCAAAGGCAAGACTTTGACTATCCAAATTAGTAAACTTCACCACCATTTCATTCACAAACTTATTAAGGTTCTTTATCTCCTGAAGTGATGTATCTAATTGTTTGGCAAAGTTGCTATTTCTAGATAACAGATCACTCCTTTCTTTCTCCAAATTCTTTTTGACATTCCTCAAGTCCTCCAGTTCATCTTCTTTTAATCTTGATTCAAGATGTAACTCTTCCAACTTGGACTTCAAATTCTCCACCGCAAGTCCATTAGCTGCTACAGTAGCTTCAAATTCCTTGATCATGGCATCTTATAAAACAATAAGAGAAAGAAACAAGTAAATAAAGGGAGAAAAGTATTTAGAACTGAGAAAGTTACCAAGAGGTAAACTTATCACAAAAAGTAGAGATGTTTAGATCTGTGTCAGTAGTAGGACATCTCTGCGCAGAATGAAGCATAACATGAAAAATTTCTCTTTCTGACTAACAAGACAAATGTCCCTAAAGAGAACTAGTACCTCTTTTGGAGACGGTCTCCGAAAAGTTTTATTGTTAAAAGAATCTTAAAGCACACAATATGAATCCAATGGATAGAGAAGAACTTGAAAAGACAGACGACTTCAAGAGAATTGCCAAATGCAACTGTTTCCCAAACACCATGAACAGTTCCAGTTACAGCGTAACGTGAAAAGAGAGATGTTAAATCTCAAACAAGACTTGAAATTTCCCCCTAGGTTCATAGAGGAGAAACTATGGGCTTTGGCACAGACCAGTCTACGAGCTTCTTATGTAGTTAAGAGCAGCCACACATAGATCGTTCACCAACAAACTAACCATGTAAAGTGAAATAGAGCGTTGACTGCTTAAGTCCATATTGAATCAATCAAAGGGACAGGCATTTAATAGACAACAGAATTAACATAAATAATAAAAAAAGAAGAGGAGATTAGCTGGTTGACGCAGAGAGTAGAGCCATTTTTTATGCAACATCTGCTATTTCTCGAAAGTTGAGGTGCAAGCACAAAAGCTCTTAGATCATAGCTATTTACCTTTCTCCTCAATTACACTGATACTTTTGCTCTGTTCAACCCTGAAATAGTTCTCCATTTTCTCCTTCTCGATTCTGATTTCATTCAGCTCCTTTTTACCTTTATTGACAACCCAAAAACATGTTAGGCAACTTTAAACATTAGTATCTAAGAAGCATAAACCTCTAGATATTCAGCAGCATATATGGTTTCTAACTGCTTAGAAGCTCTCAATTGGTGATAAAAATATATTGCACAACAAGGCATTATTAACTTACAATTTCTAACAGTTTCTTCGGAGGATTCCAACCTCAAAGAGAGGGCTTTCATGTTGTCTTGCAAGTTATCAATAACAACAGAAGTTGCAGATCGTCTATCTTCAAAAGATGCCTTGTCTTTCTCAGCTGTAGAGTCAAGTGCACAATCCAAAATATTTAAAAAAAATTAAAAAGCCAGAAAGGATTGTTCTATCTGCTTTGCATCCGGATATTCTTTTAAAGGAAAGTTACGGTAACATACCATTCTGAACCACACCAGCTAGGTGCTGTAAGGTTTCAGTTAGCTGATCACACAAGGTCTTTGTTGAAGAAAATTTAGATTCCAGTCCTTTCCATAGCTTCTCGTCTTCTTTCTGCTTCACTTTCAACTTAGCATTTTCATTGTACGCATTTTGCAACTTTTCTTCTAGTATATGAATATCTTCAATCAACTTCTTCAATTTAGAGTTCTGTATTCAATTATGATGACGCACAATTATAAAACAAGTGAAATTACTAGTCATTAGGTCTCAAAATTCAAGCACAAAACCTAAGTCCTAATTGCAATTATATTATTAACGTATAGAAGCCTTTGTCTGTTCTGTATAAGCATACACCTGACAGCTGTATCCATGGGAACCAGCGCATGCCACACGCATAGAAAGATGCACTCATGCAAGCGTACACATACACACACACTCACACACAAAAATCCGTGTATCGGTGTACTAAAATTGAACATTTCAACGAAATTACCGCCAATTGCAGATCAGTTTTAGCAGAAGCTTGCTCCTTCACCAATTTCTCTGTTGACGATAGAAACAAATGAACAATTTATTTGAAAAAATATACATTTTTCCAGAAAATTTAGAAAACTACTACATTCATCAACTAATAACCTGCTGTAAGCTTCAAATTCGCAAAACTTCCAGAAGAAACCATGTCAGCTGACATGCGCGTCGTTATCGGCATGGCTTTCCCAGCTCCTAAACCAGATCCGGCCAGCGATTTGAAGTGATCACGGCCTCTCATGACTGATAATCCTAAAAGCTTACTCATTTTCGAATAAAACGCAAATATTCTCCGATTTCCCCTATATAGACGAAGTAGAAATCCTTCAACGTTGATTTTGTGGCCTAATCGATCACAAAGCAAGGATGTAAAACCCTAGAAATAGAAAAAATCGGAGCGATCGGCTCTGTGAGCTTAGCTTTTCGTTTTCGTGATGACTAAGAACTGTATCGGAGAAGAAAATTCTAGAAAAGGGAATTTCGAAGAGATCGTCGCCTGCGATTGTCTCTCAGTTGAACTCGAGTCTGTGAGAATGAATATTTGAAATGGAATGGCGCGAAGGAAATGGGATATTTATAGAGTCGGTTGGCAGGGGAGATATTTCATGTTTCTTTTAAATAGCGGAAAATAAAAAGAAGTGGGAGAATTGCAATTTGGTCCCTTGATATAAGAAATATGTTATTTCATCCATCAATTCATTGATTGATTATAAGGCTTCATTTGCTTGAAACAGGGGAAGGGAAGGCAACAAAGTGAGAACTAAAAAGTATGAAAAGGGAAAACAGAGAGAGAACAAGGGAAAACTTGTATTGGATTGAAAATAGATACTCTATTTTTGTTATATTTGTCTACCTTTTTTTAGATAACCATATGCATCCGAAGACCATTGATTGAAGTAATATAAATTTGCGCCACCCAAAGGTTCGAAACTGAACATTTAATTAATGATACAGAATTTCATTATATTATCACGAAAAGGGACAGAGAAAAAGTGCAGTTCCTTTCTCTTAGTTTCATTTCATAGCTAAACGTTAGTTAGGGTTGGTCAATCTAATCATTAGAATAAATCTCTATACAGATTTTAGATTTTGGTTTTATTTTCCATTTTTTTGTGAATATATTTGCTTGTCTATCTTGAAGAAATTTAAAAAACAAAAAGAAGAATTTTTCCATAACGAATCCATGCAGTGGCGGATCCACCCTGGAAGGAGCGGCATGGGCACCCGCTAAGATGAATTTTCTTTTATATACCTATGTTTAAATTTTCTTAAGCTAGATTAAATATTTCATCCTGCCACTGCAGCCGTAAACTAAATAGGGGTGTCATGGCTGGTAGATCATTTTGAAAAAAAAATTCGCGTGTAAAATTCAAGTTGGAATTTACCTTGAACCTTGTTTGACTTTCTCTTTTTTTGTGTGCTTTTTATTTCCTTTTGTCCCGATGATTTTTCTTTTCGGTTACCCCCCTCAAATTTTCTATTTGTCGTTTTATTATTTTTTATATTTTTCTTTTCTCTATTATATTATTTTATATGCGGTCTCTAGCAAGAACACAAAAAAAAAAGACTTCAAAACTTTAAAATTATATAAAATAAGTATTCCTCTTAATCTTAAATTTATGAGTTTTCTTCTTTCAAATTCGAAAAATTTGGGTCTTAATGAGAATTTTGGATTGAGATAAAAAAAAATTATTTTTTTGTTATATCATAAAAATTTGTGTTATTCTATTGTTATTAAATATAATTTAAATCTCATTACTTTTAAGTTATGATGAAAATTTTGTTAGCATTGCTTAAAAAATATATGATATTTATGACATTGATTTTTGGGAACTTATAGTTAATTTAACTTTATACTTATGGGATATAATTTATCTATTGAAAATATTTTTTAAAAAAAAATTCTTATTCTGGTTGATGTAATTCCCTTATTGAAGATGTTATCTTACTTGTATAAATTTATTTTTAATATATAGAAAAGACTTAATTTTCTAGTAAAAATATTAATTTTACTTGTGTTGTTATAATAAAGGTGTGATTCCTTATTTTAAAATGCTAATTACGTTTTTTTTTTACATCCGAGATGTAATTTTTATATTTACAAATAAAAAATATCAATTAGGTTGATCCGAATAAACTCAAAAAAATCGAATAAATGTTCCTAATAAATTTCGTATTAGTTATTACAATGTATACATTAAAGGAAATTATGACACCCGCCACCTTCAAATCCTAAAGCTGCCTTCGAATCCATGCTTAATTAGTTGTGAGACAAAAATTTTGACGTACTGTCACGCCTCCTTTTTTTTACCTACACCCGCAAGGGGCGTAGAGGGAGTTTTTCCAATTAAAGGACAATCGAAACGGGATTTATTTATTTAATTCAGAGTCGCCACTTGGGAGATTTATGGTATCCCAAGTCACCGGTTGAATCCCGAATCGAGGAAAAAATTGACTCTGTATTACAGTCTGCGAACCAGAAATCCAGATAAGGAATTCTGTTAACCCGGGAGAAGGTGTTAGGCATTCCCGAGTTCCGTGGTTCTAGCACGGTCGCTCAACTGTCATATTCGGCTTTAATACATGTTGAATCTATGTGCAAATTTTAACTTCAACCGCTTTTTATTTATTTTTTAAGGAAAATTGCAACGTCATTAAAACAAATCTTGAACCACGTCACATAAATGCACCCGTGGTTTTTGACATATTTTAACATCGTTGAGATTCGGATTTAGGTCACATAAATGCGCACCCGAGTTTAGGAAGGTAACACTATTAAAATACGCGCCTAAAGAGACTAGCGCGTTATTACTTTGGGAAAAAATCGTGAGATTCGCTAAACGGCCCGTCCCGAAATCTAAGTATTTTTATATATACATTTAATGAGGTCCCCGTAATTTATCTGTTTGTTTAGCGAGGCTCATCTCATTTCTATCATTCAAAAGGCAAACCTAAAAGCTACGGTGATTTTTTTATTTTTTTTTTACTTGTCTCTCTGAAATAAAGAAAATGGTCTAATTAATTAACATGACTTAAGAAACCCGTTTTAAAAAATTAAGACCCAAATAAGCACAAGGGCAGGCCATTCACAGGCCTGGGCCCAGGTCCAAACGAATGTAATGTGAAACAGGACCTAGGCCACCTTGTTCACACGTTGAAGCCCAAACCGCCTAAATATAGGCTCTCAGCCCCTTTTCGACAAAATGAACCACAACTCCAATTTAAACAAGACTAAACACTTGCTGAAATTTTAGTTTTCCACTTTTAATAATTCGTACCCCAGACAAGATTAAACGCAAAGACTGGATTGAGTATACTGCTCATGAGGTAACCTCAAGTATACGAACTACCACCCTGATTACATAGTTTGGCTATTTACATCCTTTATGTTCCCTAGCACACTCAGCTAGTATTTTAATCAAACTTAACTACTACTGAAATAGCTTCTTAAAATGACTTTATTGCAACTATATTACTTACTAGAATAACTTCATGAAGCAACCTTAAATGATCATCGGAATTAACCTTAGCTAGTTAAGACTTTGCTCTACTGAATATAAGTATGACTGAATGCTTAGCTAAGAGTATTCACACAAGTCTGAGACAACCAAATACACAGCCCAAATACGGTCCAGTATGAATCAGCTGGTCTAAACAATTCAGAAATGGTTCTAATTATACAGTCCTTAATACAATACAAATTAGATGAGTTAAATATGTATACTACTCAACAGATGATCAAATACAGCCATATGCATTCCAAACGAGCATGGCTCTTGAAATATGGTTTCATTTCATTCAAATATGCAGTTACATCAAGGTGAGTTCAAATTGTGTACCTAGAAATCAGAAATCAACAAGAAGTAGAAGCAGTTAGCTCAGCAGGGCAGTCAACAGCTATTAGGAATTTCACAAAGCCACAACACAACTATTCTTCAACCCAGGAATATTCAATGACCCAAAAACCAAACAGAAACCAAAAAGATTGACCCACAACAGTGTAGACACCGGATTTTTGACCCTCCCCGAGAATTTTCACATTTTTAGCGTGAATATGTGAAATTGGGTCTAATATAGCCATTTTAACTATTTTACTTTATTTCGTTGCAAAAATAAAAAATCACAAAAATACATATATAAACTTTAGTTTATGTATTTCTCATAAACTTGAAAAAATACAAAAATTGTACTTTATTTTGGTACTTTATATAAATTCGAAAATTACAAAAAAATATAATTCTATTAATGTTTTGTAGTCATTTTAATTTTGGAAAAATACAAAAAAATATTACTTTATATTTTGTCTTTATTAAAAAAACGAAAATTACAAAAAAATAGTTTTATTAAT